CAAGCACGTTTCTGACTACAGATGGGCGTATCGGGTTAGCTCCACGAGGCGATCTGGTCGAAGTCGGCGATGTGTGCTGCATCATCTTCGGGGCAACTGTTCCTTTCCTCCTAACACCAGCAAGAGAAGGCCGACACAAGCTTATAAGCGAATGCTACATCAACGGTGTAATGGATGGCGAGATTATGCAACAGTTCGCTGAAAGCGACCTAAACGAGCATCAAATCGTTCTGGAATAGGCGGACCACATCAAATTCATCGAGCAGCATTATGATGATAGTTTAGCGTCGTAATTCCTGGAATTGAATTAGCTGGGCCACTGTGTAGTTGTCCGGGAGTTATAGGATCTGTCACACGTCGTTGTCACATAGAAGCCTGGTATGCTTCAAGGCTTCTGGACATTATCTGCGCTCTAAGGGAGACTCATGAGGTACACCACGCTACCCGTGGCATTGTTTACACTGTGCGTAGAGATCTTGAAGCGTATCACGCTACACTTTACACTGACACCGGAAATTTGAAAGTCACGCGACATCCTCTAGCTCGAAGTCTATTCATGTAACATTTGTGGGCTCTTCGTGTGCCTCGAACGACTGCGCAGCTATATCTGATACCTAAAATCCGGTTCGCGATCCGTATACTGCTTGCCAGTAGGCATGTTATACCCTTGGGCAAGCTTGACATCCTTCCTCTTCTCTCTCCTCCGGTAAATCGCCCGAACAATCCACCATCCGCACCATGCAAAAGCCAAACACCCCAAACTCCATGCGTGACCCAAAGTATACTTCGGCGCCGCATTGCTCTGATAGATCTGGCCAGATACCACACCACCGATATTGGTGAGTGTGAGCAGGATGCCTAGAGAAGCAGCACGCTTGCCATCAGGCGCACAGTTCGCAGATAGCCAGGTTATGTTTCCACCGGTGCAGAGGAAGCAGGCTGTTGCGATGAGGTAGGTGGCGAAGTATTGGACGTATGGGCTGACTGGAGAGAGGAGGATGGCGTAGCCGGCGATGCCTACAGGCGCCATGAGGATCAGGGGTAGGAAGCGCGTTTGATACCGGTCGGACAGGTATGCGCCAATGGCATAAACGATAGCGCCCCAGATGTTGACGGGAATGACGAGATATTGTGCCTGTGCGCGTCAGCGACGTATCTAAAACCGCAAGTTGCTAACAATACCTGCTTGGTGGAGAAGTTGAACCCATTCCTGATGATAATGGGTAAGAAGGTTCCGAAACCATATAGAATCGTCACGACGGCGATCTGAATGACACCATGCACCCAACTCTTGATGTCCTTCGCTGCTTCTTTGATATCAGCCTTTCCATAATGACCGGAGCCCTCAGAGTCGGAGTAAGCCTGTGTTCGATGTGCGCGCTGGCGCATGAGAGCCTTCTCGTCGTCATTAAGGAAGTAGGCGGTTTCGAAGGATTTGGGGACGAGGAAGATGCAACAGGCTGCCCATATTATGGTGATGATACCCTCGATGACATAAAGCCTGCACAACGCATTAGTCTAAGAGTCATCGAAATTGAGAAAGGTGCATCTCACCATCGCCACCCCGACCACCCAGCAACTCCGTTCATGTACAGGATGCCGAATGCGATGAGGCCGCCAAAGGCTCCCGATAACGCCGAGGCGATGAATAGATATGCGATGCGGATACCCAGCTCTTCTCTTGTATACCAATTGCATAAGAAAAGTGTCATCGCCGGGAAGAGGCATCCTTCGAAGAAGCCAAGGAAGATCCGCGTGGTAACCAGGCCAGCGAAGTTCTGCACAAACCCTGTGCAAAGACAGGTAATGCCCCAGCAGAAAGTGATCGTTGGTATCACTCTGTTGAATTGAAGACGTTTGACAAGTAGCGAGGTCGGAAACTGTTGGCTGTCAGATATACAGAGTCTCAGCAGGCGAATGCACGTACTTCGGCGAGAATGTAGAAGATGTAGAATACCGATACAGCCGTCTATATTCTCGTTAGTCTGACCATTTTCAGGACATTTACTGGGGCCGTGACGCACGTTCAGCTCGCTCCCCTTCAGTCCAATGTCCGTCGTCATACCCTGCGTTGCAGCAAATCCAATGTTACCGCGATCCAGATAGCTGATGAGCATCAACATCATCATGACTGGCGCAACGAAGCAATCCAGCTTCCGTCGTAATGCATCTTCTTTCTTCTTGTTCTCGATGATCTCTGGGTCTTCATCTTGCGCAAGGTATTCGCGCTGTACTTGTTCGTGTTTCTCGTCGGTTACCGAGCGTTGAAGACCTGGCGTCGCCATTGCAGAAAGATATCAAGGAGCGAGGGCAACAGTAGCGGATGGCTTCACGATAGTTTATCCGAACTCAAAAGTCAGATAGTATCGTCTGTTATGCATTCTCGATAGAATCGCGTGTATCCGGTATGTATGTACGCCATGCGCCTTGCTGCGCTCATTACTCGTGTCCATCGTCTAGGCCTAGCTCCTTCTCCAACTTCCATAAATCCTCCATCACTCGCTTCCATACGCAGGACGCCTGAAGAATGAGTGAGATAGAAAGGCTGCATATCGACGTCGGTGGCAGGGTGTATAGTATTAGCCGGATTGCCGATCTGCGAACGTTGCGGAGGTGGAGAAGCCATGTGTGGTTCCCCAATGCGGGGTGAGATGCGGGGCTAGGCTTGGGGAAGCACGACGCGACTTGGTATGATGGTCATTCTGAGCAAGGAAGTACTGTCTGCGAGTAGATGGCCAGGATGAATGGTTGTGTGCGGGGAAAGATATTGGTGAGTCCGTCGCGACTGCAATCCCGAAGGACCCTAGTAAACATTGCGCTACTCCGTACACCATTCACGTTGACACCAAGATATTCAGATCTGAGAACACGCTTGCAGAATTAATTCTTACATTCCGAAGGGACTGATCAACAATACATCGAGGCACCGGAAGCAGATAACTCCACTCCACATGTCTTCACCAAGCAAGACGGTGGCCTTCATTGGTGCGTTCCTTCTACCTAGATATATTTCTATGATCTTCATACTGATGAACCGCAGGACTCGGGGTAATGGGCTATCCCATGGCCCTCAATCTTCGAAAAGGCCTCGACTCTTCCCATACCGTTCTAATCTGCGACGTATCCACCTCCGCGCTCGAAAAGTTCCAATCAGACGCCTCAGGCCAGGGTCCAGTGGAAGTAGTAAAGAACGGATACGATGCTGTCCAAAGAGCCGACACCGCCATAACAATGCTTCCAGATTCGAATGCCGTTAAGGAGGTGTATCTTGATCAAGAAACAGGTGTCCTGGCTGGTGCAGAGAAACTACCAAAAGGTGGCGAGGGAAAGCTGATCATGGAATGCGGTACCATCGAAACAGCTACAATCCTGGAGGTTGCGAAAGCAGTGGACAACTCCAGTGCGAGCAAGATGCTGACTTTTGTTGATGCGCCGGTGTCGGGTGGACCTATGGGTGCGCAGGACGGTACATTGGCGTTCATGGCAGGCGCGAACAACAAGGACATGTTCCCTACCGTGAAGAGCTATCTGAGCCACATGGGCAAACCAGATGCTATATTTCTCTGCGGCGACATCGGCGCAGGTACAGCGTTCAAGGTCATCAACAATTACCTCAGTGCCATTACATCGCTCGCCGCGTCTGAAGCCCTGAACATCGCCTCGAAGATGGGGCTAGACGTTGCACTGCTTACGGATGTAATTAATGTCTCCGGGGGTCAGTGTTGGGTCACGAGTAAGAGCAATCCAGTGCCGGGTATACAAGCCAATGTGCCGAGTTCGCGAGGGTACGAAGGCGGGTTCCGCATCGAGCTTTGTGCAAAGGTTTTGGGCATGGGGAGTCAGCTTGCGGAGATGGTGGGCGCGCGTACTGTACTCGATAAGCCTACGTTGGAGGCTTTTGGTGAGGCGATGCAGGACGAGAGGTATAAAGGGAAGGACGCGAGGGTCGTGTATAAGTGGTTGAATGAGAGTGAGAGAAAATAGGATGTCGTATATCAGCTCCATCATAAGTTTCGCAATACGCGAAATTACGCCGTGTTGCACCAGGCCCCCAATCGTGTTCAATCAACTCAGTTTCACAACCAGCAATAAAGCTCGTTCTATGGATACATCGATCTACCTCCTAGCAGTTCGGTGCGGCATACTACCCCGTGGAGGCTACAACAGTGCATTAAAATGTAGAGCTAAGTAGGAAGAGGTACCTTAAGATATACGTGGTCCTTCCTACGGAGCATAGCATACGCCTACTATCAGTGTCTACGGCAAGGGCCTTGTAGCATGCGCCGTATATCTGATTGTGCAGCGCAAGATGATTACGCCAGGAGGATACAGACAGGCTTATAAGCTCGAACTAGACCTGGAAACGTAACCGGGTGGTATTCGATGGTGCCCATGGATGAGAAGCATCGTAAACACAGGGACTGTTCCATCCGAAAATCCAAATCCAGATCCGGCATATGCCCGCACAGGTATGGGGAAGGCATCGACGCCAGGAGGATACAACGGGAGTTGTACCTTCAATCAAGACCTGAAACCATAGCCTAGAGGTATTCGCTGGTCCTTCACCGAGTAAGGCGTATTTCCTTGTTCGAGTTCGATCGGAAGAAACCTATCAGCGTGCAGCGTATCTCTAGATACCATAGCAGAGTGTGCGCAAGCCAGAAGAATACAAACGCCGTTGCACACTCAAACTAGATCTGACGATGAATCTAGGGGGTAGTCGCGGTGTTGTATGTAAGGATGGCGTAGCTCACTGGCCGGCTTTCCTAGGAAGGAGCGCTCAAGATGCAAGCACGCTAGGCCTAATCGGTCGGCGAATCTCCAAAAGGTGCCCGCACGGCATGCGTGTGTGTAGGCAGATACCAAGTGACTTGCGCTCTTGGAAAGATTCACTGAAATGCACCCTGGAGGTGTTCGCGAATCTTCACATCGATGTGCTGATAAGACAACAGACCATGTAGACATCGGGCGTGTGCTGAAACTGGGGCACAGCAAAAGCTCTATCTCATTGGGCTCGCAGCTCGGCCTACAGGACTACTCGTCCTCCCGGAGCCGACGCCTGATGCAAGCAGCTCCAACCTAGAAGCCTGAACACGGTGCTTCTTCATGACCTCTACCCACTCTTCCTCGACCTCCTGCTCCTCCGTGTCAATTGTGCTTTCTTCCAATTCCGCGCGCAAGTCCTCTTCTAGGAGCGCGATCATCATGCTAAAGTCACCACCTAGTCTACCTAGCGAGCCAGCGCAGTATAAGACCTGCGTGAGGAGCGAGTCGCGTTGTGACCGATCTTGTACGTTTGGAAGGTATGTTCGTAGGGTGTCGAAAAGCATCTCTACGAGGTGTAGCGGAAACGTTGCGAGGGCCGATGGTATCGGTTGTAGAGGGTTGGATGTGTTGACTGGCTTGACAGCAGGTGCGCTTTCGTCGGACCCTGGTGCTGGTAGGGCCGAGGGGAAGATGCTCTTGTACATGGATATGATGGCGAAGCTCTGTTCTCGAAAGACTTCAAGATACTTCTTCAAGTACTTTTCTGTTTGCTGGCCCACGGCCCAGCCTGCGTCGCCTTTCGCTGCCTTGGTCGTTCGCTTTTCCGTCTCTTGGTCTGCGAGTTCGCGTAGAGGATCTAGTGCGCTGAGCATCAACTCCAGGCAAACCAATCGGCAGACGAGAAACAACGCGCCCAGTGTGCCTTCTCCACTGCCTATGCCGGCTTGTTTTGTTGACCATGCTTCGTCCAGTTCTGGCGCCACTCGTCTGAGCCACCCGATTGTTCGCATGGCACCTGCTAGCTTGATACCCTGGGTCTGTAGCGAGCTTATGAGATTGGTGGTCATGGTCTTCATCTCCTGCTCAGCCTGGGCAGTGAGCGAAGAGACCAGCTCTGAATTGGGGTATAGCGTATGGAGACGCTTGATGTGTGCGTGGAGATCGAGAGCCGAGGCATAGTTCGCGTTGGCGGTGGCCGTGGATGACGAGGCTTGTGCGGTGGCTGTAGAGGAGCTGATGGCGGACGAGAGAAGGGTGGGTAGGTCGAGCACATCGGATACGCGGTCGATGTTCCGGGACAGCAGCATCGCCTTTCTCCGTCTGTCTAGTATCGCATTATCTGCCCCTCTGCTATATTTTTCGGAAAAGTTCTGCGCGGCTGTCTCCAGATTCGGCAGCTGCGCCTGTACTGTGCCTGCATCTTGGCCTATCTGCGGGAGTGTCTTGCGGAGGTGTAGGAGGTGGTCAGTCGAAGATATTATGGGTTTATGCGACCGCTTCGAGAGGGCTTGCAGTGACCGTAGTATAGACTGCGAGCTTTGTGATAGCGATTGCTGCTCTGAGGATGTGAGGGCAGCCAAGGGCAGGGTCGTGAGGCGGGAGAGATACGTGTTGGTAACGGCGTCATTGGGGGAGGGTCGTAGCTGCACGTCTTGGGCGTCGAAGTAGGGTATCAGTAGCTCGTAGAGGGGATCCGCCATGTTGTCGCGTTTCACTCGTCCAATGACGCGTGCAGCTGTTGAATTGCGTGTCGAGGGGTGCGTGGGGTGGCTGCCCAGGTGTCGAGTTGTGGGCGGAGGTGCCACGAGGCTGACCCTTGCTGCGTTAGCGCCCTTTGCACTTTATATGCGGCTGCTACCGTAACATTGGAACCGTAGGACTTATGGATCGTGGCTACTCCTATATAGACAACCCCAATAGCGCGGACGACGACACAAATCGACCACAGCAAACTAACGCAGTCGAGCGCTTCCTCGCTGAGCTGTTCCAGAACCGTTTTCTCACAGACCTCTCGACCGCCGACGACGAAGCTGCACCGACACGACCGATTTCGCCGCGAACGCTACCCTCGAATCACCTCGTGCCTTTCTTCACCGCCTCCAATACCTTTTCAGTACCGCAAAATCCAGTCGACACTGCAGAAGTGGCAGGAATCACACCACCACATACTTCAGCACGCCAAATGCAAAGCGCGCAGGATGTCGTCTTCTGTGTCGAGGATACCGTGGGGCTCAAGGACGACAAGTACAGCGTCGGCATCATAGAGCGATCTTTTGGCGATGTCGACTCGCACGAGCCCCGGCCACAGCGCGACTACCCCGACGACATCGAACGCCACACCGATATCCCCAGGGAAGAATTTTGGAAGTTCATGAAAGACGGTATCCCGCCGCGGGGTACCGTCCTAGTGTCATGGCAGACCCAGTACAAGACGGAACTCATACCAGAAGCAAAGCTTCAGCTGCTAGATCGCGCGCTGTACGTAGGCGATGTGGTCAAGAGGAAGGCCGAAGATCATATTAGTGGTACGGTCATTGGCACCCAGGCAGTCTGCACCCTCTTCCCCGCGACCCTCTTCAACGGCGGCCAAATCACACAGACAACCACCGACGATCTATCAATACGGAACATCCCGGCCGACGAGCTCATCAACGTTCACGAATTCGTCGAGGGCGCCTTAGTCGTCTACGGCGACTGGGTGGGTCGGGTAGAGAACGTATACGACGAGGTCGCTATCAGGCTGGCCAACAACTCAGTCGTGGTCGTCGAGGACCCGGCCGAGCTGGAGCAGGATGACACCACTCTCGAACGGCTCAGCGTAGGCGACACAGTCAAGACCAAAAAGGGCAACCTGCGGCGGGGAAACTGGAGATTTGGCGCATACGATCCGAGCGTACCGCCTGTGGGCATGGTAGTCGAGACAAGAGCATCCGAGATCGACGTGCAGTGGCTAGCAAGAAGCATTGGCGCGCGCAACGTCGCCTTCAATGCAGACGAGCCTCCGGCGACAATCGGTCGAGACGAATTCGAGAGCCCCAACTTCTACCGGTACGATGCCTCAGGAGGTACCGCCACAACCCTCCCCGTCTCGGAAAACGGCGTCGACAAGTCATACCATGTAACCGATGTGGCCGTGGGTGATCGGGTACGGTTCAAGGACATCGCCGGCGCTGCTGTAAAGTATGACGGCACGAGGGAACTACCCAACGGATATCCACAGGGGAAGGTGACACGGATTGCGCGGACAGAAAGCCTGGGATACGATCTCAATGTCTTCCTTGTGATGCAGACTCACAGTCGGGTCACAGTTCAATGGCAAGACCTGTCCATAACGCACGACCTCAGCTCTACTCTACTGCCAGATCCCAATGTAGAAGACGACGATGAGGTCTGGCCTGGTGAAGTTGTTTTCTCCAAAGAGAATCGCGAGGGTGATAACGCTGATGACTCTGCGACAAAGAAGCCTTCGAAAGTGGGTGTAGTCCAGACAGTCAAGGGCCGAGATCGGATAGCCACTGTGCGATGGTTCAAGAATCCTTCCATCGAGTTCTTCGGCCCAGACCTACTTCCCCCGTCAAGCACAGGAGAATTACATGAGACCGTTGAAGACGTCAGTCTATACGACATTTACTCTTTCCCAGCACTAACACGGAGACGCGGCGACTTTGTACTTGTACATCCAGACTCAATCGAAGGTGTACAGACGCCGCTCAATGTCATTGGCCCCGACTGGTTTGGAGAGGTTATCGACTTGGGTCTAGATGGAAAGCTCACCGTCCGCCTTGGCGCAGCAAAGCCTGTTGTAGATGTCAAGGTTCCCTACGAACGCGTCACTCTTGCCTACAGCAGCGACATGGCTGACGATTTCGGTAACATGGATCCGCTAGAAGGTGACTACATCGACGACTCCGACGAGAGTGATGAGAGCGATTTCGACACGGCGTCATTCAACGAGATGTGGATTGAGTATGAGGGCATGGATGGTGAACAGCCTGTTGGCGACGAAGGAGACTGGTCGACAGAGGATGAGGACGAAGAGGAAGAAGATGATGGCAACACGGACACATCCATGCCTGATCTTGTCGACATCACAAAAGAAGTGGATACATCGAAGACGACTCCCGAAGAGCAACCCGATGAAGACGGCGGTATAGCGCTGGATGACCATACGGGACAACCGACAGAGGGACCAGCTTCTTTCCTCATCCTCGAAGAAGCTCCACCAGCTTCTCATCACTACATCTCCCAATCATCAGCCTCCTCGTCAGCGTTCATGCGCCGGATAGCGAAAGAGCACAAGATCCTCCGGAACTCACTTCCACCAGGCATCTTCGTCCGCACCTGGGAATCTCGACTAGATCTCCTCCGCGTCCTCATGATCGGCCCTAACGACACACCTTACGAGTACGCACCCTTCGTCATCGACTTCCACCTCGGATCGGCGTACCCACAAGAAGCACCATCAGCCTTTTTCCACAGCTGGACAAACGGTAACGGACCTGTCAACCCGAACTTATACGAAGATGGCAAGATCTGTCTGAGTCTACTGGGCACATGGCACACCGACGAGCGGAACGAGAGCTGGAGTCCCGCGAAGAGTACGCTACTGCAGGTTCTAGTCTCCATCATGGGACTTGTACTAGTCAAGGAACCTTACTACAACGAAGCTGGCTACGATGTTCATCGCTCAGCACCAGAGACGAAGCTGAGTTCGGCGCTTTATACCGAACGCGCTTACTTCCGTGCTCGCGCATTCATACACCATGCGCTCACGCATGAGGTCGCGCCGTTCAAGGAGGAGCTACAGTATCTCTACCGAAGCCAAGAAGACGGTGCCCCCAAACTTCTCGACAAGGCCATCGAAGCCGCTAAGGACGTTGTCGAGCAAAGCGCCGAGGGAAGTGAGGAGGGCGAGCGTGATGGGCTGAGGAAGATCAGTCTGGGCGCGCTTGTCATGCTGAGGAGGCAGGTTGAGAAGCTAGAGGCTTTGAAGCAGGCGAGTACATGAGTGGGAAGATGGCCGTGAATGACTCTGGTATGACGTCGTGTCACTGTATTGGATCCTCGCATCGGGAGAAGTATGGCACTTTACCATGGAAGTAGCATCGTGAAGCAAGAGAAATGTAAAATATACATCAAGGGCCCGTGAACCCAGCCATGGCCGTGACTCTGGACATCTGGAATGGACCAACTCGTAACAGGAAAAAGCTGAACACGTATCACCTAGGAGTCTACATTACCTTTGGACATTGCGCAACGTTGGCTTGTATACTAATGTAGTCGGCAAAGCCCCTGTTCGTTTTTTCTATGTATAAGGCGGGATGAATGGCCAACGCAGGATATGATGATTTCTTTCACTACTCTATTAGCAATTCCAACACTCGTATGTTCTCGTTTTGCCGTGTCATCGGTGCCTTCATAGTCACTTCAAAGCCCGTTCTCTTACCCGGGACATTTGGACGCCTCTTTTTACTAAGTCAATTCCTATTGTCTTGTCTGCCTTGCAGTTTCTCCATCATACACTGCATTCGCTGTTCCTTCCAAAGCGTCTCGATGCATTCCCAACGCATCATCTCCGTGCTCACGTCCCCTTACCTTCAGCTCGTCATCTTTCCCATCGTCAACACTCTCGTCTAAACCACCGACACCGCACAGACTCTCCCGTCCACACCCACAATGACGTGCGCCCTCCACCTCACATCGCAGCCCGCCGCCTCACCCCCAATATTGCTTGTAGTAGGTGTATCCCGACATTCTCTAGGTATATAAAGCCCACCACCGAAGAGTTTCTTATTGAAACGAAGAAGACAGCAATGCGCATCACCGGCTAGTCTAGTCAGTTGTCTCACCCACACTGGCTATCAGCATTGCAAGAGTCATACCCATGGTCGCTCGTGGGTTCGATTCACTACTGGAGCGGCCTTTGCTCGACCCTATCACCTTAGGTATTAGAACCATCCTTTAGTCAGCACCTCGATAGGGTTCCGCAATTAATACGTTTGCGACCAGTTGCAGTTAACTCATTACTGCAATTGAGTTCATTTATCTTTTTTGCTTTTTCTTTTGCCTTGTACTTTTTCGCTTGCGCTTTTGCCTTACGCTGTGGGAATGTTAGCGGCAGCGGCGGCAGCAGTCGCGTTACTGTGCAAGATGTGCCTTTTTTTGCTACGATTTTTATCTTAGTATGTTATATCGCCGCATATATCGAGTATAGGTTAGAGATTACACAGTCTTTTCATAAGGTATGTATTCTCCTATCAGGTAGCTAGGAGGATGTCACAGTCTGCCACGCTCTCCGAAGTGCTACCAAAGCTATCTTGTATCCGTCTTGCTTGCTCAAGACCGCCTCCTAGAAAGTTAACAATGACGATGTCATCATCTCGATGATCTCATCTACTTCGGCACCTTCAATCAGATTGAGAGCCTTCTGAGGATCCATCCACTGCGTGTTGTACTCCTTGTCCAGCTTCACCACGTCCTCGTCCACGTCCACCAACAGCGCCTTGACCAGCTCATGCTCGAACAACGCCTCAGAAAGGTTGGTAGGCGGGCCATCTTCTACACCGAAACCAGCGAAGTTGTCCGCAAAATCACCAGTCTCCAAAGACTCTTCCACAGCCTCTGCTCGCGCTGCCGCAATGGCCTCGACGTTTTCCTGCTGCATGAGAACGATGTACTGCATCATCCACATAGTACCGTGCTTCTTGTATGCTTCATCAGGCTGCGCAACGAGCTTTTCCCAGAACTGCCGTGGTGTGTACGGGCAAGCTGGGAGCTTCACCCGAAGCTTTCCGATTGCCTTGCCAAAGTATTTGAGGCCCCAAGAAGACCAGCGCATGAAGTCATACGGAGAGTTCTTCCACAAGTCCACAAACATCTCTTGTGTTGCGGCGCCATCATGCTCCTGGTGCAGCCCGTTCACCATCCAGCTGATGGTGAAGAGCTCGAGGAACTTGTACAGGCCGGGCTCTAACTCTTGTTGCGCGCCTGGCTTCATGAAGATGATGAAGGCGAGGAGTATGTTGCATCGCATGGCAAGATGGGCGGCGGAGAGAGAGTGTTCTTGGTCCATCTGCCAGTAGAAGATTGCCGCGGTGACCTGGGCGTCTTGTTGATTCTTGCGGGCGCGGAATGCGCTAGCTGCAAACTCGTTGTAGGCGGAGAAGACAAAATCGAGCTGACAGTGGGGATTGATCTGGGGGTTGAAGAGGGTATCTGGCCGCTCGTATACGTCTCGGATGGTGGGCTTGCGGCCGGAGGCAAAGGCGCGCGCGGGGATGCGGGCGATCTTGATCTTGAGGTTCTTTTCGGCCTTGGCGTGAAGCTCCAGGAGCTGGTTGTGTGTGAGCGTCATGGTGAGGGTGGTTGTGTTGTGTGGATAGTCTTGGAGTGATGGAAGAAGCAGTAGATGTTGGAGAGTAGAAGTGTTGGAGGTTGAAGAACGAAGGTGAGTAGAGACGGATGAGCAGCTTATATAGTTAGCGTAGGCAGCAAGACAAGGACGGTGAGAAGGCGGATCAGAGAAAGTCAAGGTGAGAGACGGCTCCGACTGGTCTGGTTGGGATATTATTCCGTCACTGTCGCCTTCACATCCTGTTCTCTTACTTGCTGTAATCCGCAATAGACCGCCGATGTCGCAGCGATGTCTTTTCTACTATCTACTTTTAAGAAAGACCTCGAGGTCTACAACGTACCTGTAATCGAGCAGCAATAATTCAAAGACGGAGCTAGATCAATGTCAGGCCTGGCCTGTGCGAGTCGACCTCGAGAGCACCCTAGAGTCTACATCAATGTTGAATCACACACTTTGCATGATTTCATGTTATTGTAGGCTGCAAACCTGGTCAGAATTTTCCGCAGACAAGGTTGAAGGTTCGACCTCGGGAGCACCCTGGAGTCTACATTGATGTCGGATTACGCAGTTTGCATCATTTTGTGTTATAGTAGGCTGCAGGGCTAGTCAGAATTTTCGGTGTATAGGGTGGGAGATTCGACCTGAGAAGCACCCTAGAGTCTACATCAATGTTGAATCACCCATTTTGCATGGTTTTATGTTATATTAGGCTGCAAACCTAGTCAAAATCTTCCGCGTATTGGATGGGAGGTTCGACCTGGACTCTGGGTTCGGTGGATCGTCTCCTTCGCTACAGGGTTGCACATGCACGTGCACAGTTCTTTGGTAGTGAATACTGCCCTGGGCAGGCTCGAAATACAAATAGTCTCTGCGAGCCTCAACGAAAAGCACTACTTTCAATTTATTGCAACCCATCTAACCTTCCCAATACCGCGACCATGCAGATCATCAATCTTGGGCCGTTCGGACGCTACCGTCTCTCAAAGCTACACGACGCAGCCACTTCGCGAACCGGGAATGCCGTGAACCTTGATATCTAGGAGTGCTGGGCGCCTTGACTTGATCGTGAGATAGTGAAGCAGGAGCAGTGCGGAAATGTATCTCAAAGGAGCCGACGAGGAAAGCGCACACCACGCTTTTGAGAAGGAGTACATGAGCCATGAAGCAGTAACGCAGCAGCGCCTGCCCATGCCATAGCTGCAATGTAATAAATTTCGTTCCGCATTCTGCTTCCTGTTCTTTAGCACCCACAAGAAGGGAACAGGTATGTGCACATTTCCATCCCAAACACTTTTCTTTACCACTGCAGGCCTAGTGCGCTAACAATTATGTGTCCATGTAGCTATCAACTCTAAAATCTCGCGAAAATGTTCGCCTGGCTCGACTGGAATCAAGTCGCCAACAAATGTCTCGGCGACTGCATCGCCGTCATGATTGGCCTGGGTTTGGCCTTTCTGCTTTGGCGCTTCGGCCCTGACGGGCTATGGCTGAGGTTGGGTCGGGCGCTCGAGCGTCGCATCGTTGGTGCGATGGTGAGAGACGCGGTGAGGGACGCGAGGAGGGAGTTGGAGAGGGAGCGGGAGGAGATGCGGGCGGTTTTGGTGCTTCTTCACCGTGAATTGTGATTTTCTACACTTATGCATGTCGCAACACACCTACCTGACAATACATGATACCTGGCCGGTAGTAGAAGAAGCCTCGGCTAAAATTTGACAACTTTGAAAAATGCACGCGTACGTTCTCTTTAATCATAGAACACACGGCGCCTAGCGAGCATGTTTTCGACATCTTGCATGAAGCATGGGATGTCTGCCGAGAAAGATACGGACTGGAATGAGAATACAAATTTCTCAGAAGCAGCAAGCCGATCTACTGGCCTAAAAGGAGCGGATATGATGACATGGGAAATGTTTTGTTGCTATATGCCAGGACGACGGGAGTTGCGCGAAACGCGCCGGTGGTGATGCGATTCCGGTGCAGAAATCACTGAGAGAGAAGTACATGCCACTAGGGCTTTGAGCTCACCTAATGCACGAAAGAGACTAAGCAGGGCGAATGACTACATTGATATAACAACTTGCAAAGTAGGTGGGCTAACATCGATGTAGGCTCTACGCTCGCCTCATACAAGAGCAAGACTAAACAGGTTTTATGACTACATTGATATGACAACTTGCAAATTAGGTAACCTAACATCAATGTAGGCCCCACGCTCGCCACTGCGCCTTTGTCACTTCCATCAAGATCCCACGCCGTTACAGTCCCCCATCTCCTTATCCAGCACCTCCAACCCCACATCCAAAGTACTTATACTCAACAACGTCGCCAACTCCAACACCTCCATAATCTCCTCCTTGGTACCCCCATAATTCAACACATTCCGCATATGCAGCTTCAACCCCGGCTTATACATATGCGTCGCCGCCGTATCAAACGCACAATATATCAGCTCCTTGACCTTGGGTTCAAGCACGCCCTTCCCCCCCTCATTCGTCCACGGCACAGAACTAAACTCCGTATACGCGTCGAAGAATTCGGGTGCGATGAGCAGCATCTCTTCCCATAACGCGTTCCAGTACCCGCGTTTTGTCTCGAAATCTTGCTTTAGCGCAAGTTGCTGCGGACTCATGTTCGCCATGCCTTTTGGTATGGCCTCGCCCCGCTCCTCAAGGACTTCGAAGAGGATTGGGACGCCCACTGTGGAGGCATGAATGCCCAGGGTGGATGTGAGACACAGTGTTTCGACGATTTCGGCGCGGGAGGCGCCGGCGGATAGGGCGGCGCGGGTGTAGCGGTGGATGTTGGGGACGTGGAGGTAGGTTGATGATGCGCTTACGGCGAGGGAGATTAGGGATTGGATTTTGGGTGATAGGTGGCTGCTTCGCTTTGGTATGGCTGTTAGGCGGAGCGATGCTGCGAACATCTCGGGTGAGTGCTTGAGCATCCGCGCCCAGGACTCATCGTAGGCTGCGGAGCCGAGCTCGGTGTCGAAGCGCTGTTTTAGGCGCTGTTGGTCTGGTGAGAGAGACATGCTTTGTGGTGGGATGAATCGTTCAACTCAGGGTTTTAGACACAGATAAAGACGTGAATGGCATAGGTGGAGTTTGGGTCACTTAAACCACCAAGTCATTTGCTTTCAATCACGGCGGAACAAATAAGATCTCGACTTTGAGACAGGAGCGCGTGAAGTACACAATTGCTAGTTCCGAGGATGCAGTCTGCGTTGCTCTGTCTGCCGCACCTCAACCCGGGTATCCGAGGATGGTTGATAGTGGTGGTGGTGAGCCAGCAAGCCCCACATTTCCCCAACTCCGTTGTGTGGGGAAGCGCAGGGATCAGCACACCACCTGGTGGCCGAACGAGAAGGATTACAGCTGTAGCGAGTAAGCTGGGCTTCCCCATACTGCGAGTCGACAATGTGGTATGTGCGAGAGGCGATCGGTATCCCAATATCCTGTTCAGAACAATTGCTAGGTGATGTCTTGAACGCTAACGACTAACCATCCACGGTTTGATCCGCGCCGAAGAAGCGCTTCTTGTTCTTTGGATCGTGCTCCCATTCAACGTCGTGTGCAAAGATGATCTCAACACCTTCTTTCTCCAGGGCTCTGATTCTGTCAATCGTCGCCTCAGCTTGCTTTCTGTCGGCATGTATGCAACAGACTTGTCCATGAGCATCGTTCCACTCTCCGATCGTTTTCTCTCCGGTCAACAGTCGTCTGTCGTGACATGCATCTCCGCCCATGTAAACTTGGTGATTACGAGATATCCGAGCAAGAAGGTTGATGTGTCCTGGTAGATGACCGGGTGCGTCGACGATGAGCAGTGAGCCGTCGTTGAAGACATCCAAAGTCTGAGGGAGGTTTCCGTGCGTTTGCCAGGAGCCACCGAAGTTGATATCGCCCGTTCCCCTACATGAGTCGTGCTTCTTCAACACGTTTGCCGAAGGTTCCGATAGTTCAATGGTCCGCTCTTCTGGTAGAAGATCACTTTCGAAGAAAGAATGGCCACCGCGCAAAGACAAGGATGTGCCGTCCAGCAAGGCAAGTGAGCCATGACCGATGACGAAGGTAGATGTAGGAAAGTCTCGAGGTTCGCCGATATGATCCCAATGCACCTGGCGTAGCCACGTTACCTACCGTCTGCAAAGCGAGGTCGTGTGACTTACGTGCGAATAGATCACATAATCGATATCCTCGGGTGCTAGCCCGCCTCTCGCGAGGCTCTTGGTGACGTCCGGATCGGTACTCATTGGCTGTCTCGTCTCGACATGCTTTTGTATTGGTGGCGCGTATCTCTGGATGTCTCTCCTCAGGCCTAGATCGAACACAATCCGTGTCCGCTTCTTGGTGCTTTGGTTGTAGTGCTGTATCAGAAATGCTAACGAGGGTACAGTTCGGCGTGCATCTCGACTAACAGGGTGCACGAATTGGTACTCTGGAAGTGAAAAATGACCACATGACAACGCGTGCACAGTGACAACGGCCGGCGCTGCATGATCGGACTGCTTTTGCGAGACGATAGCAGACATTTCCAAAGATGAAGGAGCTTTTCGTAGATGATGTCGTCACAAGGTTGCAAGACTATGGCTGTTGAAAAGGATAGTCCCAGGTCCTCTCATGCACGAGCAGATGGAGATGGCACGTGAGATCATCGTTCAGCTTACCAGGGTACCTATGGGGGTACTAGGTGTTGGCGAAAGAGTGGGTAGGATAAGTGCGTCGTTATCCGTTGGAGAAATCCCTACCCCGCTTCACCAGCCGCGGCACGCTCACGACGCGTTCTGATGGTTGTGTTGACGTGACTTATTTCTCAAAATCTCCAGGTCTCGTATACACACCAACTTCCCACTCGACGCTAACTCTCTGTCGTTCCTGAAAGTACTCTCAGCTTCAAGTCAGTCCCCTACCCCTATCTGGCGCACGCATTCGTCATGACGCATTCGCACGAGTTTAGAAAGCTGGGCTTCATCGGCCTCGGGGCTATGGGAAAACCAATGCTTTCTCATCTTGCCAACAAATTGCCTGAGGAATCGCGCATTTGGGTTTATGACGTGGTCGAACAGATGGTAGACGATGCGTGTGCAGACTTTCCCGGTCGAGTCTTGAAGGCAAAAAGCGCCAAAGACGTAGCGCAACAAGTCGTGAGTCCAGAAGCCACCGTACGAAGATGGTAGCTAACGAGGTGACAGGACACAGTTGTAAGCATGGTGCCTGAAGGTGCACATGTACGATCCGTATATCTCGACCCCCAAAACGGCGTATGCAGCACCGATATCTCGAATAAGCTGCTCATCGACTGCTCGACAATAGACACGGCAACCAGCCTCGCTGTGAAGGACCACATTGCCGCTGAGTTCCCCTCGGCGTCGTTCTACGACTCCCCGGTGAGTGGCGGCGTGGTGGGAGCTATCAAAGGCACGATCGCATTCTTTCTAGGCTGTGCAGAGTCGGACCCAAATCTTGAGCGCCTCACATATCTGATGGGGTTGATGGGTGGGCAAGTGATACCTTGCGGAGGTTCATCCCTTGGGCTTGCAGCGAAGCTGTCGAATAACTACCTATCGGGTATCATCGCCATAGCTTGCTCTGAGGCTTTCGACATGGGGATGCGCAGCGGATTGGATCCCCGCACTCTGGCCAAAGTGTATGCCGCTGGTACTGCCCAGAACACTATTTGCGACAAGTTTTGCCCAGTCCCACATGTATACCCTGAAGCCCCGTCTTCAGGAGGCTGGAAGCAGGGATTCAAAGTGCAGCTGATGCGCAAAGACTTCGGTTTGGCAGTTGATATGGCGAAACGAGTAGGGTCGAGAAACGTATTGGGTTACGTTGGACTACAGACATACGATGGGGCAGCCAATGACCCGCGTTGTAGAGATTTGGACTCGCGGGTGGTATATCGCTACCTCGGTGGCCAGGAAGACTGGCAATCTAAATCGAACGGCGCGTGAGCAGCGACCTGGGCTGTGACACCCCATCGTCGTCATACCCGATGTCGCTGGATCTCGATGTGCTGTGCTTGACTAGTCGCATTAGCGCCATGTTGAAGTTGGAGAAGGTTGGGGATGCTTGGGGTAATGCCGAGGGCGGGCAACCGTGGGATGAAGCTACTATCGCGGGGCAAGCATGCCAGTCTTGTTAGCTTGTCACAGTGCTAGTACTACGAACGCGCGATAAAAAGACTATCGTCATTCTCATCCTGTGAATTTGTCTTGAGATAGACAGCCTCTTTCACGTCAAAGCCGCAACAGCTGCCATCGCACCTCGAAGCAACCGACCGCCAGCATGTCGACCGATCCGAAGCTCGACGAGCTACATAAGCAGCTCTTCGATGAAGGGCTGAAGATGAGACGGAGTGTGGTGGGGGATGAATATGTCAATCGCGCGCTGGAGAACGGGTCCACTGAGTTCTCACGAGCCGGACAGGAGCTCGTCACCGAGATGTGCTGGGGATACGCTTGGACACGTCCAGGTCTCGACAAGAAGCAGAGAAGTCTGATCAACATCGGCATGCTCATGGCACTCAATCGCGCCCCCGAGCTCGCCGTACATGTGCGCGGGGCAAGGAACAATGGTCTTTCCGAGCTTGAGATCCGTGAAGCCATCATTCACGCCACAACATACTGCGGTGTGCCGGCTGGGGTAGACGCGATGAAGACAGCTGAGAAGGTCCTGAATGACATGGCAGAGAAAGGCGAGATGCCGCGAGAATTGGGCGAAAGGAGCAAGAAGGCGTGAAGCTTGTTGGCTTGTGACGATGGACAGAAGACGCGTCGCGTCGCGTGGGACTGTGGCTGGGGCAAGTGGCACTCGGGATCATCTGGCCCGGGCAGGGACGAGTTGTTCGACAGTGATCGTAGCAATACCACCATTCTTCATACCTTGCTTCTGCGCGAAAGTGTCAAAACAACATCTTCCTCCTCATGCATTCTATCAATATGCGTGCATCCTGGACTGTGGGTACCTGTCACATGTGTGATTGGTGGCTTTCCCACCTCTTCCCAGCACCCCGCATGTGAACCGTCGCGTCCCCGCGCTTCATTCCTTTCCCCACAATCTCACGACCCGACTTCGTGAAACACGACTTGCAGTCTCCAAACTTCGTCTAAGTGCTCAGGCTGCTCCAAAACTCGGCTATCGCCTACTAAGCCGGTCGCAATTGGGCCCTGCGTGAGCGAAAGCGTCGCTATTGGTCTTTGATGGAAGCCGGTACCAGTGGAGGAGAGCAGGTCCCGCAAGCTCAACCGGGGAAGAAGGAAAAGCGATTCCAATGTCCACACTGCCAACGGGCCTTTGCTAGGCTGGAGCATCTCCAGCGTCATGAGCGCATTCGTAAGTCGTGCGACTCGCGTCGTAAGCCAATTCTGATATGCGTCAAGATAGCGGTGTGAAGCCCTTCAGCTGCGCAGCATGCAACTATTCATTCACACGCAGGTATGATACGTCCAGCGTCGTTTGCGGCAGCAGCTAAAATCTCAATTAAGTGACCTGCTCGTTCGCCATGAGCGACTCACTCATCGCAAAGAGCAGAGTACACAGCAGAATCACCAGCATACTCCCGCTGGAGATACATATGGCTCGGTCGAGGCTCGGCCACACAAGCGCATGCGGTCAAGTTTCGATGCTGGACGTCCAGTGCCCGAAATACCCAGTATGATGTCCTCGCCTGCTGTTTTGGATCTGCAATCGTCGCAACAACAACCCGCAATGTCACACGCCTCCATGACCTTCGGGCACAACAGCCCCTACTCTTTGACAGCATTGTCCATGGCTGCCGAGTATCAAGCCCTTCAAGGTAACATGGCAAACGGCTCTGTTCATGATGCGATGCCAACCCCAATGCCTTCGCATGCTGGCACGATAGCTGCGAGTGTTGAAGGCCCACACTCAACCATGCTCACGGAGCCGTCTGCTCATAGCTATGAGTCGACCTTTGGAGAGTCTCTGGACAGCCTCACTTCATTCCTTGACAGTGAACCACTTAATTCGTACCACTTTGCGTCCCTGATCAACACCGAACAGCCCATGCCGTTCTTTTCTCCAGACTCATTTGGCTACGGTCAACAAATGGCGACCGAGCCAGAGGGAACAACAGCGCCTACACATGGTTGGAGACCAGCCCAATTAGAAGAGCCGCCGTCGCTTTCACGCTTCGGCTCTCGTTTTCCTTCCTTGCAGCCAGACGATCAATCCGCTCGGAAACGATCATTCGCAGATATTTCACACGAGGATCGGCAGGAAATTCTCGAGATGCTCCAGCCCTTCTCCATGGTCATACCCAGCGACTTCGTCCTACCAACTCGATTAGCACTGTGCAGATATATTGCTGCGTATATCAACGGATTTCACGAGCACATGCCTTTCCTTCACATACCCACAATGTCCGTGGAGACGTGTTCGATAGAGCTACTCCTAGCATTGGCAGCTATCGGTGCACAATACACTTTCGAGGGTGAAAAGGGTGTCGAGTTGTTCAACGTAAGTAAAGCAATTGCGACGCACCGTATCAGGAAACGGGATACGCGCCTGGTGCAGCTCCAGCATCATTCTGAGTCGGACCACTCGTCGCCCCACAATCATCCGAGCGATCCTCGTAGCCCTCAACGTAAGGGCTCCGTCTCGGGACCGCTGGGCCTACCTTCCCAGGCTGATGTTCCTGTACTTGGCGAAGATCTCATGCAGACCGCTCAGGCACTACTCTTGCTCATGGCACTGTGTACTTGGGCAAAACACAAAGAGATTCTCAGAGAGGCGTTAGCAATCCAAAGTATATTAGCTACCCTCATTCGGGATGACGGACTCGAGACCGAACCTCTGCATGAGACCATCTCATGGTCGGACTGGATTCGGCGCGAAACGATCAAAAGAACCAAGTTCATCGTCTATGGCTTCTCCAACCTCCATTGCATCGTCTACAACATTCCTCCATTCATGCTAACGAGCGAGGTCAAGTTGCCCTTGCCATGCAGTGCCGCGGAATTCAAGGCTCCTACAGAGGCTTTATGGAGGGAAGCGAGGAAGAAAAGTGCGCCTGAGGTCCTGTTCCAGGATGCATTGAAACGTCTGTTCACAAAGCAAGGCCGCGACGTCACCGAGGTCAACTCGTCGTCTGGAAACTACGCGTTGATACACGCCCTGATACAGCATGTTTTCTTCCTCAGACAAGTGGCCCGATGTCGTTTCGAAGGACCCGGTGACCTCAGTGCAGAAGACGTCGCGTCGCTCGAGAACGCTCTGCGGAACTGGCAGACCGGATGGCGCCAAAATCCTGAATCATCGCTCGACCCAATGTCGCAGAACGGTCCTGTCGCTTTCAACTCAACTGCGTTACTTCGATTGGCATACATACGACTCTACGTAGACACCGCAGGTCGAGCTTTAGAGACGCGCGACCCTGTGCTGATTGCCAATGCCTTCCGCGCCGGACCTACAATCAGGCGCTCGCCAAAGATCACAAGAGCTGTACTCCATTCGGCTCACGCACTCTCTATACCCATCAAGATCGGCTATCGTCTCGTGGCAAAGACACAATCGTTCATCTGGAGCATCCAACACTCCCTGTGCACGCTCGAGTGCGCCTACCTCATGAGCAAGTGGCTTGAAGCGCTATCGGTACCAGAAGCAGACCCGCCCGTCACAGAAGACGAGCACAGAATCATTGCGATTGTGAAGAGCATGTTGGATGAGACCGAGTTTGCCGTACCCGCCGATATTACGCCCGACTCGCCCAACTTTACACGACATCTCAGCGCGGGTGTGCTCAGGGTCTGGGCGATGATTTTCAAGGGATCTCAAACTTGGGCTATCGTTGATGTTATCGGGAGCTCTCTCAATCTGTATGCGGATATGCTAGAGTCTGGGTGAGCAAACCTATCAAGATGGTCCGTTTCACCAATAACATGCAATGACTTCTGTGGACTTCAGCCGAGACATTTGGCTTCCCTGATGCAAACCGGGGTTGAGCATCAAATGAAGCCAAGTCTCGCATCAACAACCCAAATTGGGTAATAACCCAGCTGCATGGTTTGCGCTGAGAATGTGATTTACGACGATCGAAGCATATAAGAGAGTGTCCCCCGCGAGCAGCGCCCGTTGATGGATACTGGGCTCCCGAAGTGAGACGACACTCGAGCGATTCGGTCGCCGTTCGAAACCAGCTTTGATAACCAGAAATACTCTTCGAATACGTCAAAAGTCAGCAAGATTGACCCCGATACCCTTAGCCCACTATGACCGAACAACGTTCCGAGCGGTTACAGGATACGCTCCCCAAAAGGCCAATGGCCTCCACTTGTGCAGTCGACCAACAAGAAACGTATCGAATCAGGAGTTGTCGAGCAGCGAGTTGAATTGCAATCAACTCACGAAAAGCGGCGTGGGGGGAAAGTCGACGGCCGCGTGGGCTTGAAAGAGTGGTGAAAGAGGTCGAAAGAGCAACTAGCGAAGGCAAGGAATAAGACAGAAAACGTGACGTGGTGGAAACATCGGAGCTTGATTTATCCCGAAGCACCATGGGCGTGTTAGGCGTTCAAGGTATTACCAAGCAGAAGCAGGAATAAAACTTCGTGTCTCTGCACCGGAAGTACGGGGGTCGGTCAGCCCACTGTCATGGATGCGCACCGAAGGAGTCCTACTTTCAAGACCGGCACTGCCACTTCCGCAATGGAGCTTGTGGTGCGAAGCAAGACGTGGAGTTGACGAGGCGCCAAGCAAGTTTCGGAGAGGCTGTCGCTGCAATCTAGTCCACACGTCCGTTTGAGGTGTGTGTTGCGTAGGATACAGTCACACGTCAGTGTCAGTGACAGTGTCACTGTCACCTTCAGCAAAAATCCCACCGAATTCGATATAGATGCGTTTCAGGTGTTTCCGGACATTACACGCGCTTTGGTGGTGTCGAGATAGCTGCCAATCACCAATCGACATGCAGGCGTCACCTAAAGGCTTTGCAACGGCAGCTTGGCGGTAAGATAGAGGCGCCCATGTTCGAGCAACTTATCCATGCGAGATAGTATTTGTCGATGAGACATGATCATGGCTCGTCGTGCTTGGCTAAGGGTAAAGCTGTAGCTTGAAAACCCATTGACGAATTTAGACGGTGCTGACGACGAAGAGCCATATGCTCTCCCATAGGTCTGTCACTGGCACAGAGTTCTTTCATCTATCAACCAGTTAACAGCTTTCGCATACCCTACCTCAAACAGCGTGGGTGCTCAATCCAACTGCATGCCGCGCCGTCATTCGCGAGTCCAGTTAATTACCGTGCTGCCGGGCGTAATGTGCAAGGTTCAGTCCAACTGCATATCGGTTAAGACAGTGGCGCATCGGCACGGGGTCAAGCCTTATCCTCGGGTTGGAGTTGCAACCGATGCGCGCGTTCGGTATGTCTGACATAAGCAGCGTCTGTACGTGCAGTGGGAATGGACATGATGTGAGGCGGCATGTATGGATGAATATTGTATTTGTCTGGCGGCGTGCATTGTTATTGTCCAGCAGTAAATGTCTCCTGGTGGTGCGGTGACAATATCCCGAGTCTGTGTTGATCACGACGCGTCTTCGTGGTGTAATGTACCAAGTCGATAATCGTAAACACGGCGGCTGATTGTATTGACATCTACTCAAGTCGCTCTATGGGTATCTTGAATTCTTGCGTGATTTTGGTCATGTTGTTGACCACTACGAATTGAACGAGAGTTAGTACAAGGCCTGCATGTGTACTATGCGTGCTACTTGCGGTCATCAACGTCGACTGTCTGCTGATTGCTTCCGTTTGGAGCACCCGAGGTTGAAGCGTCCGTCTTCCGTGGGTTGGTGTCGATTTGAATAGTGACCTAGCAATGTCCATTAGCATTAGCAGGCAAAGCGGCACACACTCAGGAAATGTAATGCTTAAGTTGTACCTCGCCATCTAGGCAGGTATAGTCCAAACCTACCGGCCCATCGTTAACCAGAGCAACATCCATCATAGCAGCAAAAAGTCCGTCTTTGACCTTGTCGGACTCATAGAGAGATCCGACCTTCTTGAAGAAGGCGTGGTATAGTGTCTTGGCTTGGTCGCCGTTTGCGGATTGGTGGAAATCCGGCTTGTTTCCCTTCTTCATAGAGGCCAGTAGCGTGAATTGGGAGACTGTCGACAATTAACACACCGATTCCGCAGCAAAAGCACTGTCATAGACAGCCAAGAATCCCAGAGTGCGTTTCACACATACCACACAAAACCTCGCCATGGATATCGGTCACGTTGCATTTCCACTTGACATGTCAGTCTCAGCCGAGAGAAAAAGCATCGGCTTCATACGCGGCCCGGCAGGTTCTTGGAATCGTCGTCCCAGAGCTTGGCCTTGAGTATCTTGCTGGCCATGGCCTCAACATCCTTCTCCGTGTCGTCTTTGGAGACGGCAGCAAGGACCACCAAGCCCTTGCCAATCGAGGAGATCAACTGTCCATCGACCGTGACTGATGCCGACTTGACCCTCTGCAGCACCGCTAGACACGCTTAGTATAGTCGTGGTTACGTGTGCATGGAGGCGGGGGTCCGTACTCCTCATGATGGCGGGGTAGCAGCAGTGGTGAGAGAAACCTGGGTGGCTCAACGTGCGATAGCCTCACGGTGATATGGGCAGCAGCGCAACGACGTCACGCATGGGAATTGCGACATGCGACAATTATGAGACGGGGCTGGAAGAGGGTGGAACGCGTAGATGAAACCAGACGCGTGGGGCCAATCGTGGTGGCTAGTGGCCGCACTCTTGGCGAGGACGCTAGGCCAGCCCTGTGGCATCGCGTTACCTATGCGATACGTCCGCCTCCGCATTCAGCCCACGACAAACATCCACGCCATTCCCCGTCGGACGCCCTCACTCGCGCGATTCGACTGTCCCACCGCCGCTGCCACCCCCGGCGACGCAATCATTGCCGTAACCACCGCGAAAGTCCTCACGACGAGGCTCGACCCTCGCCATGGCCGCCCGCAAGCTCCAGCAGGAGATCGACAAATGCTTCAAGAAAGTCGCCGAAGGCGTCGCGACGTTCGAGAACATATATGAGAAGATCATGCAGACGGGCAACCCCTCGCAGAAGGAGAAGCTCGAGGACCAACTGAAGAAGGAGATCAAGAAGCTCCAGCGCTCGCGGGACCAGATCAAAACATGGGCTGCCATGTCCGAGATCAAGGACAAGAAGCCGTTGCTCGACCACCGGAAGCTCATCGAGACAGTAGGCTGACCGCCGCCTCCCGGCATGATGGGACGCTGACATGTGACAGCAAATGGAGCGCTTCAAGGCCGTCGAAAAGGAGATGAAGACGAAGGCATACTCCAAGGAAGGCCTGCAATTAGCGTCCAAAATCGACCCCAAGGACAAGGAGAAGATGGAGATGGTCGAGTTCCTGCAGCAGATGAACGAGGAGCTGGAGCGCCAAATAGAGACCATCGAGACCGAGATCGAGACATTACATGCCAACGTCAAGAAGACGAAGAAGGGGGACAATTCAAAGGCAGAGCGAGTCGCAGAGCTGGAAGAGTCGGTCGAGCGGAATAAATGGCACCAGGGCAAGCTGGACCTGCTGCATCGAGCGCTGGAGAATGGCAACGTCGAGACAGAACAGGTCAAGGAGATTGAGGACAGCATCAAGTACTACGTCGAGAGCAATCAGGACCCCGAGTTCATGGACGACGACACAATATACGACGACTTCAACCTGCAAGAGGAGGAGGCCATCTTTGGCCTGGGCGAGAACCTGGACCATGTGTCTTCACACGAGTCGCAGTCGATAGCAGACGACACACCCGAGTCAGACGTGCGACCGCCAGCACCCAAGCCGAAAGCGACAGAGGCAGTACAACAACAGGCACGACGGCCCTCGACACAGATGAAGTCGCCATTACCAGCTCTAGCAACATTGCACACGCCGTTACCTGGCGTCTCAAATACCACGGCCAACGCGATGAAGCCCGCGCCGATACCGACAAGAACGCCGGGCGAGCCCTTGAAGTACGCCTCGGCCGCCGCTGCTGCAGCCGCGAGCGATAAGAATGGAGTGGGCATTGCTCCTCTGCCACCACCACCGGGAGGGGCCGCAGCACAGTCAGGCCTCGCTCCTGGCGGCGCACGGGCAAGTGCAGCGAATTCCCCGGCAATAACACATTCCCAACTGGCCTCGCGCGCGCAGCCAGCCGAATCCGCACAAGCATCGCCAGCTCCTGCGGCAAGTATACCCGCGACGCCTGCTGCAGAGAAGGAGACCCTTTCGCGCGCCGTTTCGTCGGAGGACGCCTCCAAGTCCAGCAGAAGGACACCAGCTCCCGAGCCTGTAGAGGAGGAGGAGTCATCGGCTGCCACCCCGCCGCTGACGAACGGTGATTCTCATGCAGAAGAGGAGGAAGAGGAATCAGTGTATCACCTACCGTCGAGCCTACAGGACCTCCTGGACACATTTGAGGCGACCAAGAACGACATATCCGCCTCTGCCTCGAAACCTCCGAATGAGCACATGCTAGCAGCATCCATGGCCACCGCGCCGGACTCTGCGGATACTGAGGCGCCGCGCCACTACCGACCCCAGAATCCCTATCCGTTTACGCCCGCGCACTACCCGCAAGAGCCGTTACCCATCTTCGATGATCCTCGCTTGTACTCCCGCATCGAGACGGACGCTCTCTTCTACGCCTTCTACTACCGCCAAGGCACGTACCAGCAATACCTGGCTGCAAAGGCACTCAAGTCGCAGAGCTGGAGATTTCACAAGCAATATCAAACATGGTTCCAACGCCACGAAGAACCAAAAGCAATCACTGAAGACTACGAGCAGGGGACGTACCGCTTCTTTGACTATGAGAGCACATGGTAAGCACCTAATTCTGTCCACCAGCCCTACGCGGGGCTGCCGTATTACAAACTCGCGCCACGCCGTGCTATTTCTGCACGTCATACAGTGCTAACCTTATTGCAGGATGAACCGTAGGAAAGCTGACTTCCGATTTGCCTACAAGTTCTTGGAAGATGAGCTATGAGCAGTCGGCTGCTTTCTTCTTACCGACCCGCATGCTCGGCTTGGGGTAATTGAGTTCTGTATTAAGATTAAGTATTAGGTAGTCCTGGAATGGGTCCCGTTGAGGGCAAACAACTTTTGCTCTTCGGATCTTGAATCCCTTCCATCAGGGCATCTTCGGTGCGTATTAATGTCCGCCCGCAGGCACCCGACCGACCACGCGAGGTGTAAGTCACGGTGAGACAATTATGCATGGATCAAATAGCACTTATTGAGGCTCACCTGCCAAGTGCAGGCCCTCCGCCCGCGACAATTTGGCCGTCCAAGGATGTTGTAGCGGTCTGAGCGCCGGGCGTAATCTGACATGATGTGGCTAACGGCTGCGGAATGTGCTCAATTGGTCCAGACGACGTTACACTGGGTTCCGCCCCCAATCGGTGGAGCCTACAGGGCTGCAGGAGGAGGCTGGTCGCATGCCACTGGTCGCCTAAGCGAGGAATCCTTCCGCGACGTTCAAGCTTCAGTTACGCCCCGTTACGCCCGGCAGCACTAACTCGTGCATGACTTTGAGTTGAGCGGTTACTGCATCAATCATTTTACGGCATTCGTGCGCCGGTCCAAGTCCATCGGGTTGCGGGTTAATTGACCCGCTTACAGCAGCAGCAGAGACAGACGAAGACAGGACGCGAGATGGATGGGCGTTTGATGACGGCTAACCTACTTGGAGACGGGCGGTCAAGCAATGTTTGATTTCAATGCGTTTCGAAGGCATGTTGTCATCACAAGTGCTCTGATAATTTCAAGCGATCAAGTGGTCGGCTGCGTTACTGAGAGCCAGCTGGAAAAGCCTGGAGCATCGTGAAACGACCATGTCGAACATGATAGACCTCAGGCCGATCGCTAGGCTCCAGGCCACGTTCTGCAGCTTAGCAGGGGTTCATTCCTACACCGCGGAACGAAAGTACGCGAACAAGAGCCACGCATGCACATCCAGTCACACGGGGCCCATCGACCTACCCGCATGTGTGTTAATCGGTGAACCATGCCTATCATATATCCCGGTACACCAAGATCAGAACACCAACGTGTACGCATTGGACTATTCTAGCTATTTGCCTTGCCAAGCCATGACAACGACAAATGAAAGAGATGGTACAGTTCAATTAAAGTTGGATCGGGGCCTAGGGGTACTCGCCCTGCATCGCCATAAGACGACACAGATCTACCAGTGTCCTCGTTGTGCTTCCTACCTCTACACCTAGACCACTATTTCACCGCCTCAATTCTCCCACAGCATACGACAACATTAGGCCTTTTGATTCACCCGCGCCGCGACCAGACCCTACAATTCCATTTTCCGGTGACGGCACGGACACTAGTTGTCGTCAGCCCTATACCGATTAGTTGTGTGGGGTACCACCAAGCTGGTACAGGCTTCGCCTCGCCATCCTACGCATCCACCTCAGCAATCTTGGACTTCTATATTCACACATTTGGCCTCTGGCGTAGCAGTCCTTGTACAAGGAGATCGCAACGCTTACCAAAGACGCGATCGTCAAGCCCTGTCGAGCGAATCCACAACCTGATCCGACTTCTCGCCTTACGACACTTCTAACTTTGTTTCGTCATCGCCATGTTGGCACACTACGGCCCTCAGGGAGATGGCTTTGGGCGCCCGGACGGTTCATTCCCTCCGAAATACCTGTGAGTCGATGCGGTTCTTGAGGGTCTATAGCATAAGCTCTGGGGTGGCAGTGAAAGGTCTTTGCCGATATGAGGGAACGAGTTATCATGCTCGCTTCATATAAGACTCGAAAGCATTCCAGGGTAGCAAAAGCAACAGCATCATCAACGGCAACTTCTAACACTGGTTTCATAGATCTCTCGAGCAAGTTCAACTGCGTCCTCGAAGACATACGTCCGTCTCTAGCACAAGAAAGGCATCCAGACCAAACAAGTTACGCATCATCACTTCGCCCGTGGCGCCCGTCTATCGCCCTTCCACCACTACAAACCGTACGAAGAAGACGAAGACGATACGCCCGAAGCAGGAGCAACCGCCTTCGCCCGCCATGTCCGGATACAGCGTAAGTCAAACTCAATCTGTTCGTC